AACACAGTCCACCTGTCACTGGAAACCCTGGAACTGTCCTGCTGGCTGGAGGTGGAGGGCAGAGTTTTGATTCTAAAATGGTAATTAAGGTTCAAAACCCATACATGAATTGTTGAAACAAAACTAATTTAATAGCTAAAAGAAAAAGAAAAGGCCTATCTTCTAATGGAAAAGAGAGGTTTGATAAAGAAAGGTATTAGCAAATGTTGAAGAAAACTAAAACTGTTTCATATTTATACCCCATGACTTGCAATGCTTTCATCAAACCAGCAATATTTGGTTTCCTTCTGGACTTGACTACGTTCCACTTACTGGCTTAATCCTCTGCCTATATTGTACTGTTTTCTTTAGAGTAAGATTTTATATCATAAAAAATAAAATCCAATCTCAGTATTCTTTTTTTTTCAATCTCAGTATTCTTATTCAAAATATAGTTGACAATTTCAAGATATTTGTTCTCACTTATTCAGTTTGGCTCAAACAAATGAGATTCTCTTTGGAATCACATCGGAAACTGATGTTTTAGGATATTATGTTTTCCTACCCAAGAATGTTATATACCTGTTCATTTATTCAGGTCTTGTTTTAGTATTTTAAAAGTAAGTTTTAGCTTGCTTGTTTCCAGAAAAGTTGGAAAAAATGAAATGAATCATTGAATAAGTGGACAATTGATGTCTGCTCTTCTGTGTCTGTTCCTCTCTCTGAGCAGGGAAGAAAGCCAACAAAAAGTGGAACAGAGTTCCCAGCCAGCCCACAGGTGCCAGAAGGGAGAGGTTTCTAGTTTTAACACAGTCACACAAGACTATAGGTTTTTATGTTTCAGACACAATACTAGGAAAGACTTTATTCTTATAGTTTTCATTGTTTCAGAGATTAAACAGAAAGCAAGAGTGAGAGCCCCAACCATTAACATGAATACCACTCTGTGAAGTTTATAGACTCAGCCACCAACTTCTGCCCTGTATTCATGGGACATGCAGCCCATAGGGTCACAAAGAGTCAGACATAGCTAAGCCACTAACACACACAAACACACTCTCCGCCTTCAGTCCATTCACAATCCCACTAGAGGGAGTGCTCATTTCCACACAAAATGATATTTCTCAGAATTCAGGTCTCAGACTTTTCACTTTCCTCCTTTATACATGCTTTGTTAGGCAATATAAAAATATTTTAGTCATGATGCTTATACACAAAGAGCTTTCTATTTAACAGTCATGGGAATAACTCTCTTTATATTTAAGCTTTGTGAAGAGAGCAATTTTTTCTTACCAATAAGCACTCAATGAATGATGATTGAATGAATGAATGACTGGTAATATTTACTGTACCCCATATATAAAGACAAATTTGTAGCCAATGGTTAGAATTTATATGGAGATAAATTTCAGCTCACTATAAGGAAAAATAAACAATTAGAGGTTTTTTTCAAAACAAAACAGACTGCTTTGAGGTGTAAAACAATCCTCATTTCAGGAAATCATCAAATAAAAGGAGAATGTGTATTTTCTAGTGATTTACAGAAATAATTACAAAATGATATGATTTTGTACCAAACTTAAAATTTTAAAATTTTAAATGAAATAAAATACCATAAAAGAACTGAATAATCAAAGTGCTTATAAATGCACCACAGATTTTTAAAAAATCACTTCTAGATTCATGGAAATTGGATTCTGACTTTTTACTTGATGTATGTGTAGGAATTTAAGTGAGGTCAATGGTAGAACACATTCCAGGCAGGGTAAACATATTAAGGCAAAGATCAAGAAACAGTAAGCAAAAAGAGTTTAGGAAAATACAAGTTTTTAATATTACTGAATAAAACAATTTTTACTGGATGGTACTGTGAGATAATATGAAATGTTAGCCTGAGGCAATAGTTCAAGAGGGCTACTGCAGCCCAGAACTGGATTTCTTTCCAGATAAAAGATAAAACAGGTCATGAGGGGCTTCCCTGGTGGCCCAGTGGTTGACTCCATGCTCCCACTGCCAGGGGTGCAAGTTCAATCCCCAGTCAGGGAACTAAGATCCTACATATTGCATGGCATGGTCAAAAACTGAATAAAATAAAACAAAAACAACACTATATTTTAAAAATGTCATGAGGTTACCTGTCTTTAACCTAGGCAACACTGTATGCGTGTGTGCTCAGTCATGTCTGACTCTTCTTGACCCCTTGGACAGTCCACTAGGGTCCTTTGTCCATAGAATTTTCCAGGTAAGAATACTAGAGTGGGTTGCCATTTCCTACTCCAGGGAATCTTTCCAACCCAGGGATCAATCCTGCATTTCTCATGTCTACTGCATTGGCAAGTGGATGTTTTACCACTAGCACCACCTGGGATGTAACTTAAAGGAATATATTGAAATTGTTTCTTAGAATAAACTATTAATCTAAATTTAAACTGGTAAAAAATGTCAAAGATTTACTTTTACAAGCACATTTCTAAATATATAGAGAAACTTGATTTCCATAGTGATTGATTCAAGGAACAAATAAATTTCCCTTTCCCTAAGCAATTCTACCACCAACTAATAGCCATATTGCAGGAAAGGAAAAATCTATGCACTTTCCCAATGTGCAGCAATTTTATGACCACTTTTCAGCATGAGTTTTGTTTGGATGTAGGGGGAGACTAATAGCTTCTCTGCTTTCATTAACCTCAAGTAAAGGACAAACTTTTAAATCAAATAATACAGACCAAACAAATAAAACATAGCTAGATTCTGTATTGCTTTGTACTTTGTTGTCTTCCTCCCCTGGGTACAAAAGCCCTTGCATGATTTTCACTGAAAATCTCACAACTTATACTGGTGTAGTTTGGATATGTCCCCACCCCTGCTCTTTAGGTACTTAGTTGCCATAAGGATAAGCCAAGCAGACAATCCTTTGACATTAGGGCTAATTTCTAATTCACCCCCACTGTGTCTTTTATCTTTACAAACATGTTTGTCATCTAATACGTTTCACAGGATTTGGTGTACCTAAAAAAGGATGCTTCTTCAGACAACAATATATTAAATTTTTAGGGGGTCTTATAGCTCCATTTTTCTATTAAATGGTGCAAGATTTAAGAATCAAGTGAGCACATAAAAAAAATAGACATCAATACTGTAGTAAAACTAAAATGGTTATTCCACCATTTGGTGATTTAGTTTATATCCACATGACTCAGAAAGAGAAAAGTTTTCTTCAAAAGTAGAAACTGAGAAGAGTGAAGAAGAGAAATCTATTTTATTGAATAAAAGACTTTCTGTAACACTCACTGATGGATGAAGTGAGAGATGTAGAAACTTCCAGTCACAGTTTGTACTTTTTACTTTTATCAAATATCTATGATCCATCTCTGAAAAGTAACCAATAGATTCATAATAATCCCACTCACAATTCTTTCTGTCAAGGAAAAGTTTCTTGGTGCTGAATGTCGGGTAATGCTATATGTTCATTTGGTATCTTGAGAGGTGGAAGAGGGACTTCCCCATGGCTCAGCAGTAAATAACTCGCCTGTAGTAGAGGAGCTGTAGGAGTCGCGGGTTCTACCCCTGGAGAAGGAAATGGCAACCCACGCCAGTGTTCTTGCCTGGGAAATTCCATGGATAGAGGAGCCAGGTGGGCTACCATCCATGGGGTCACAAAAGAGTCGGGCAGAACTTATTGACTAAACAACAACTGATTTGCTATCCATTTTATTGACTTCTCTGTCTAGTCTTGCACTTGAGAATGCAAGGCTTTTTACTTTCATGCTGTAGACAATGTGCTCTTTTCCTCCACATTTCTTGTAACTGTTTTTTGTTTTTCACATGAACACTATAAAAGCTATTTCTTAAATTGTTGTTTAAGGAAATGGCAACCCACTCCAGTATCTTACCCAGAAAATCCCACGGACGGAGGAGTCTGGTAGGCTATAGTCCATGGGGTCAGAAAGAGTCGGACACAAATGAGTGGTTTCACTCTCATTTTCAGCTTTCACTTTCACTTTTCTTCTCTTTTAGGTTTTCTGATATATCATTATCTCATCTGCAGATATGCAGGTGATATTTTACCTGTTTCTTTCCAAATATTATGCATCTAATTGTTTTTTCTTTTGGCCAACTGCACTCAGTAGTAGCTCCAACACAATGCTAAATAGTGGTAAATATAGTGGATATCTTTGTCCTTCTCCTAACTTTAATAAGAAAGTTTCTACAACCTAGATGTCCATCAACAGAAGAATGGATAAAGAAGCTCTGATACATATGTACAATGGAATAGTTCTCAGCCATTAAAAGGAACACATTTGAATCAGATTTAATGAGGTGGATGAACCTAGAGCCTATTATACAGAGTGAAGTAAGTCAGAAAGAGAAAAACAAATATTGTATATTAACACGTATACATGGAATCTAGAAAGGTGGTGCTGATAAACTTATTTGCAGAGCAGCAATGGAGACACAGACATAGAGAACAGACTTCTGGACACAGCTGGGGTGGGGAGGAAGGAGAGGATGATCTGTGTGGAGAGCGTAACATGGAAACATACATTACCATATGTAAATAGATAGCCATGGGAATTTGCTGTGTGACTCGGGGAACTCAAACCAGGGCTCAGTAACAACCTAGAGGAGTGGGATGGGGAGGGAGGTGAGAGGGGTGTTCAGATGGGAGGGGTCATGGGTAAACCTATGGCTGATTCATGCTGATGTTTGGTAGAAACCAACACAATACTGCAAAGCAATTATCCTTCAGTTAAAAATTAATTAATTAATAAATAATAATTTAAAAAAAGAAAGCTTCTAGTATTTCCCCAAAGGTAGGTGTTAGTTTGAGGTTGTGGCATATACAGTTTTGTCTGTTGAGGTTTTAAGGTGTTTTTACCATAAATGTGTATTGCATTTTGTCACATGATTTTTCTGTATCAATGGAAATGATGATATGATTTTTCTTCTTAGCTCTCAAATCAGTTATTAAGCTCCTCTTAGTTGCAAACTTTTGCTCCTGTACTTTGCATCTGTTGCAGAGTGCTGATGCCTATTATGCACTGCCCCCTAAAGGTAGCTAACTTTATGGGTGTTTTTCAAGACTTCAACAGTATCACGCAGATTCTATTTTGTACATTTTGTTAATCATCCCCTCAGGGTTAACTCGAATGAATTTAAGTAGCAGACACTCAGCCTTCATTGACTGCCACAACCTCTGTCTATCATTACTTGAGAAAATCACTATCACCTTTAACCAGGTACATTCCTGCTGCTTCTGACTGGTAATGTTGAAATCACCAATCCTATGACAGGAGAGAAGGGCTTACCCGGTAGCTCAGCTGGTAAAGAATCTGCCTGCAATGCAGGAGACCCTAGTTTGATTCCTGGGTTGGAAAGATCTCCTGAAGAAGGGATAGGCTACCTACTCCAGAATTCATGGGCTTCCCTGGTGGCTCAGACGGTAAAGAATCCACCTGCAAAACGGGAGACCCAATCGATCCCAGGGTTGGGAAGATCCCCTGGAGAAGGACATAGCAACCCACTCCAGTATTCTTGCCTGGAGAATCCGCATGGACAGAGGAGCTGGGTGGGCTGCAGTCCATGGGGTAACAAAGAGTCAGACACAACTGAGAAACTAAGCATAGCATGAAATTAAAAGACGCTGGCTCCTTGGAAGAAAAGCTATGACCAACCTATACAGCATATTAAAAAGCAGAGACATTACTTTGCCAACAAAGATCCATCTAGTTAAAGCTATGGTTCTTCCAGTAGTCATGTATGGATGAGAGACTTGGACCATAGAGAAAGCTGAGCACCAAAGAATTGATGTTTTTAAACTGGTGTTGGAGAAGACTCTTGAGAGTCCTTTGGACTGCAAGGAGGTCAAACCAGTCAATTCTAAAGGAAATCAGTCCTGAATATTCATTGAAAGGACTGATACTGAAGCTGAAGTTCCAATACTTTGGCCACCTGATGTAAAGAACTGACTCATTGGAAAAGACCCTGATACTGGGAAAGATTGAAGGCAGGAGAAGAAGGGGATGACAGAGGATGAGATGGTTGAATGGCATCACTGACTCAATCAACATAAGTTTGAGTAAGCTCCAGGAGTTGGTGATAGACAGGGAAGCCTGGTATGCTGTAGTCCATGGGATTCACAGCTGAACTAAACTGAACTGATGACAGCAGACAGAAAACTCCATGCAAATATAAACTTCTCTTGTAGATTTTACTTCTTCCAAACAACTGTAACAACACCTCCTATTTTTTCCAGAATAAAATTCCCTTCTTGAAATTTCGCTAACATTTTTCTGCTTCCAGATTTAATATGATTTGGCAGTGCTCTTATTTAGGAAAAGAGCAATCATGCTCCCAGGAAAGTGTATCAATTGACAAATAGGCAGACTCTCCATTGACCACCCCAAGTCTGCTGTTTTCTTCTCAAGGAGAAATGAGTGGGCTGGCAAAAACAAAGCACAGTTCACCTCAGACCCTACATTTCTAACAGGGAGTTAGCTCCAATCTGAGGCACAGTGACACTGTGCTTCAGGAAAATGCTAGAAAAAGCAGTCTGTTTTACATAATTTCATACATGAGAAAGACTAATACCCACAATTAACATCAAAGAAGATCACAGCTCTTTACTCATTGAAGACTCTCAGCCACTTACCTCAGGCCCACAATAAGAACCAAAGAAAAAGAAGGGTGGGGTTAGATTGCCAGGACCAGGCCTTTAGCCAGGTAGTCCAGCTGAGAAAATGAGGTTAAGTGGTAGCAGCTAGAATCAACAGGGTAAGGACTGAACGCAAAGACTAGAAGAGAACTTTCTTTTTTAACCTCTCCTCTTCTTTAGTCACCAGGGCTTTCCTGCTGGCTCAGAGGGTAAAGCATCTGCCTGCAATGTGTAGACCTGGGTTCGATCTGAGGGTGGGGAAGATCCCCTGGAGAAGGAAATGGCAACCCACTCCAGTATTCTTACCTGGAAAACCCCACGGACGGGGAAGCCTGGTGTGCTACAGTCCATGGAGTCGCAAAGAGTCAGACATGACTGAGCAACTTCACTTTGACTTCTTTCAGTTCAGTTCAGTTCAGTTGCTCAGTCATGTCCAACTCTTTGCGACCCCATGGAATGCAGCATGCCAGGACTCCCTGTCCATCACCAACTCCCGGAGCCTACTCAAACTCATGTTCATTGAGTCGGTGATGCCATCCAACCATCTCATCCTCTGTCGTCCCCTTCTCCTCCCACCTTCAATCTTTCCCAACATCAGGGTCTTTTCAAATGAGCCAATTCTTTGCATCAGGTGGCTAAAGTATTGGAGTTTCAGCTTCAATGTCAGTCCTTTTGATGAACACCCAGGACTGATCTCCTTTAGGATGGACTGGTTGGATCTCCTTGCAGTCCAAGGGACTCTCAAGAATCTTCTCCAACACCACAGTTCAAAAGCATCAATTCTTCAAGTGCCGAAGAATTGATTCACTTCTTTAATCAAGTCCTAACACTTGCTATAATATAAAAGATCATGAAACAGGGTTTCATATACTGAATAGGTAAAATATAGGAAATTACCAGAGATTACACAGATGCCCAGGTTGAAATACAACCTAGAGGGCTGGGATGGGATGGGAGGTGGAAGGAGGTTCAAGAGGGAGGGGTATACAGTCCTGGTATACAACAATAGGTATACAGCCATGTATGCCTATGATTGATTCATGCTGATATACAGCAGAAACCAACACAATATTATAAAGCAGTCATACTCCAATTGAAAATAAAAAACTTAAATTAAAAAAAGAAACACTTTTGCAACATTTTTGCAAAGGTACTGCCATTTTCAGAGCTAGGCAGATACCAGCTTGCTCTTCAAATCTGGGCGTATATTAAAAGAAAGATAACTGTATTTCTTTCCTTTATACTTTTATAAAGAATTTAGAGAAGTCCTAACCCTTTTAACTATTTTAAAATTCTTCAGAGTAAGAAATGTAACAAAGTCATAGGAGACCCTAACCAATTAAGGGAAAGAATCAGATCTTCTCTCAATGTTTTATTTATGACCCTCAGAACATAGTCATATAGGCAAAGAACATGCATTGATCCCTTACAAGTGAGGAGAGTGAAGAAGGGAGTCCCAGGTAGTAAGGATGTGAAGACAGTCACCACTAGAGAACATTTTGACAGAGCTTTGTTTTCTTTCTTTTTTCTTCACTCTTCACCTCACTGTATGTTCTATCATTCTTTAGTTTAACTTGAGGAATTGCTCTGCATTAAGGGTAATGGAAACAAAATTTAATTTAAAAGTTCAGATGCCCCCATGGGGGCAGTGCTACCAGTAACAAAAGCAACTGGCTGGAAACTAGAATTTAGTGAATGGGAGAAGCAGGAGCAGGTAAATTCAGTGATGCACTCATGACAAGTGAGATTTTGATTGGTTGTGAAAACAGAATAAAGATCATCGGGGCTTCCAAACCAAAGGAAGGAGAAGAATCTAGAATAATGGACTAATAATAATAAACACAATTGAACATGGTCAATTTCAGGCTTCCAAACTGAATCCTGAGAGACTACAGGCAGAGGCAGGAATGTAGCCTCCCCTGCAAGCTTCAGTGATACTCCTGTGCATGCAACTAACCTGTGAGTGGGGAGAAAGCAGGGAACAGTCAAGCCAGGGAAATGGGCAACTCTGGGAAAGAAATCTAGGTGTATCCCAGGGACAATCTGGAGTTTATTTTAAGAAATGCAAAAGAAATAGGGAAAGTTCTTTATTTACAAAAAATATGTTTTATGTATGAACATTTTCTCACCCCTCCTGAACAGGGTCAAATGGACAACCCACTGGTGGAACAGAAAATCAAGGAAGGTGAGAACTTCACACTGCACTGCAGTTACAAAGACAGAGATGATGATTTCTTCCAGTGATTTAGGCAGGATCCCAGGGAAGGCATCCACTTCCTAGTGCAGTTGTTTTAAAATGAGGAAGAGAAAATCAGGGGAAGATTCACAGTCAAGCTTAACAAAAATGACCAGCAATTTTCTCTGCATGTGGAGGATTCCCAGCTCCACGATGCAACCAGTTTCTTGTGTGCAACAGGTGAACAGTGCAGCTCAGACACCTGCACCCTGCACCTAAACCCTGCTAAGCCTGCACCTCCTGCTTGAAGGGCTCCCAGGCACTGACTCTGTGCTCTGAGCAAAGCGAAACATGAAGAGCTTTGTATAACAGTGTCAAAGATTTGAAGACCATATGCAGAGGGGTAGTGTTTTCAAACACCATCTAATCTATTAATAGTTTTGTTTCTCTGTGTGAAATCCTTACTCTGTTCAAAAACTGGAGGCTTAACATCAGAAAGAGGAGAGCACTAAAGAACAGAGGGAACAGAGGAAACAGAAAATATCTTGCCTTTGAACTCCTTTGTAGACTTTCACAAATACCTCAAGAATACAAAATCTTGAAAGCAGTGACTATCAAATCCTGCAGTGAAAGAAAACATGCTCTGCCATTCCAAAAAGACTGGCTAAGAAGATTGAGTACCAAAACCTGAGGGGACATGGTTTAAAGTTTTCAAAAGGCAGAGTGAAAGGAGAACACAGTGGGATGGCAAATCTGGTTCCTCCTTAAAAGAGGATAAAATTTCAACCAGCTGACTGGAGAAGAGTCAAAGTGTGACTTTTTTAGGGGTGACCTCTAACAGCACGTAGTTTCTCATTCCTTTCTAGAGCCAGGTGGAGGGGGAAGAGTCACATTTCAAGGAGATCATGAGCTGAAGGAGAAGTAAGTGTAGGCACATGGGGTTGGGATCACTGTATCTCACATTCATGCCCCCCAGACAACATCCACCACAAGGAAGCGCCGAGCAACAATGTGACAAGATGGTCCAACCAGAGGATGTCACCAGCCTCATCCTTGTGTACTTCAGTGCTTGAACAAGAAACCTGTGCACAGATGAACCAAGCTGACAGAATAGACGTTCTCCGTGAGCCCAGAAGGATGAGATGGGGGCAGCGGATGAGATAGTTGGATGGCATCCATGACTCAAAGGTCGTGAATTTGAGCAAACTCTGGGAGACAGTGAAG